CAAATCTCCCACTGAAGAAATATTAACGTTTTATGGTGTCTGATAATCGCAATAATACTAATGGCCCTTGTAAAAGATTATATTTATTCTATTTCCATCAAAGAGAGTGCACTAGAACAAGATTTCTCCTTTCGTTTTCAGGTTATCATTTTCAGTCTTTTTTATATAAGTCCTTTGGTCTTGTCCTATATGTATTATTCAGAGTTAGAGATATCACTGGGATTTATAACTTCACTGAATCGGCTTATTGTTTCCAAGGTGTCCTTTTTAAAGAAGACTGTTATGTATTATTTATCGCATCAGCATTGTCTGTACACGGTTTGTTGCTAGCAGAGGTGTGTATACTGCACACACACACACACACACACACACACACACACACACACACACACACACACACACACACACACACACACACACACACACACACACACACACACACACGAAGCTAAAACTTGGACTCCCTGATATGAAGAATAACATCCGCAAAACTTACCATTCTGTTAAAAAAAAAAATAGACAAAAACGTTTTTCAAAGCTGAAACTTAGTTTAACATTGAGTCTCGCTTTTGAAAGTCGAAATGAAGGGGAAAGCAGGCAAGAGAGACACCAGGTAGAGGTGTAGAGGAAGAGAGCAAAACCTGCTTCCTTATTATGTAAAACTTTGGGCCACAACACTGCGTCAGGATGGGACTTTAGGGTTGAAATTCTGTTGGGTCTGTGGAAGGGAGGAAAACAAGAGTATATATGGTTGGCGAGCAAGGATAGAGCTCCAGAAATACACTGCTTGATCAGATAGTATACTGTTTGTGAGTTGCTGGTTTATTTTATGTGCAGTTGTTCGTGTACTGGAAAGCAAACTTCTATCCGGGCAACACACACACACACACACACACACACACACACACACACACACACACACACACACACACACACACACACACATACACACACACACACACACACACACACACACACACACACACACACACACACACACACACACACACTCACTAGCACACACACACACGCACACACACATTCACGTATATAATGTCTGTGTGTGTGTGGAGAGAGAGAGAGAGAGAGAGAGAGAGAGAGAGAGAGAGAGAGAGAGAGAGAGAGAGAGAGAGAGAGAGAGAGAGAGAGAGAAGAGAGAGAGAGAGAGAGAGAGAGAGAGAGAGAGAGAGAGAGAGAGAGAGAGAGAGAGAGAGAGAGAGAGAGAGAGAGAGAGAGAAGGGGACGGGACAGACAGATAGACAGACAGATATATATATAACAAAAATTCTTTTTGGAAAATATGCCGAAATAAATGGTAATACATGAGTTAAGCGCAGATAAATATCCTGCATTGAAACAGTTACTGCAGTTACGCCGTTGAAATATAAATGAAACTTTCTATTGCCTACAATTTTTATTTCAAACAAAATTTTATGCAACACTGATGTGTGCCTGTTGTATATCAAAACACTCGTTGCAACAAACATAGGATTGTTAAAGTCACTGAATATAGTGCTTTGAGCGGATTATAGTTGGTTATCAAATAATAAAGTTCAGTTTACAGCATATAGAAAAATAAAATAGATTAGAAGCACAATTCTAACGAAAGTAAATATTTTATGTATGTAAATACTAATTTGAGCATATGTGTATATACGAGTGTGTGTGTGTGTGTGTGTGTGTGTGTGTGTGTGTGTGTGTGTGTGTGTGTGTGTGTGTGTGTGTGTGTGTGTGTGTGTGTGTGTGTGTGTGTGTGCGTGCGCGCGCGCGTGTGCATGCGTGCCACTACAAAAATAAAACGTTTCCTCGAACAGTACTGATATGTTATTCCTGGAACATCCTTTGCAACTGACGATTCTTAAATGGAAACTACAGAGCATTTAAATCGAATGGAAAGATAATCTAATTTAATCTATGTATGATTAACTCCGATACTGTAAGGCATATTAATATCTTTGACGCATTTTTAGGCGCGCGATGACACGTGGCAGAAAACAATCATGAAAATGCTATGAAATCATTCGTGAAGGTCTTTCTTTGAATGGAGGCTTTGAGATTATAGAGAAATAAATACAGAAATCTCCGTTTGTAAAATGTATTTGTATCAGTATCTGCCTTTTATCTTCATATATGGCAGTTTCTGTCTATATATTTTTATATTTCCATTCGTCTATATAGATTCTGAGATACAGTGAGTACACTCGCACACACACTAAATGTTTTCATATATACATAATATATATGTATACATATATATGTATGTATATACATATACATGCACATACAAATATACATATATATATATATATATATATATATATATATATATATATATATATATATTTATATATATATATATATATATATATATATATATATATATATATATACATATATCTATATGCGTGTGTGTGTGTGTGAGTTTATATATATAGAGAGAGATTATATATATATATATATACATAAAGAGAGAGAGAGAGAGAGAGAGAGAGAGAGAGAGAGAGAGAGAGAGAGAGAGAGAGAGAGAGAGAGAGAGAGAGAGGGGGGGGGGGGGAGAGGTGAGGCCGCGGTGGCCGAGTGGTTAGAGCATAAGACTCATGAGACTCGAGTTCGAGAGTTCGAATCGCCGGCCGGTGCGTTGTTCCCCTGGGCAAGGAACTTCACCTCGATTGCCTAGAGACATGGGAGTCCACAATCCAGTGGAATGTCCCGTGCTGGTTCCAAGCCGGGAGGAAGGGGGAGGATTGGCAGCAGGAAGGGCATCCGGCTCTAAAAACAAGCCAAGACTATGATGCGGATTATTCCGCTTTGGCGACCCCTGAGGGGAGAAGCCGGAAGTAAGAAAAAAATATACTTGTATATATATGTGTATATACATGTGTAAATTTATACATCTGTCGTATATATATATATATATATATATATATATATATATATATATTTATATATATATATATATATATATATATATATATATATATATATACATATAAAGATATATGTATGCACATATGTATATATTTAAATCTGCCTTATATATATATATATATATATATATATATATATATATATATATATATATATATACATATATATATATATATATATCTATATCTATATAGATATATATATACATACGTGTGTATATTTGTGTATATATACTTATATGTATGTATATTTGTATATATATACATGTATATACACACATACATATATAACAATATATATGTATATGTACATATGTATATATATATGTATATATATATATATATATATATATATATATATATATATATATATATATATATGCATATATATATATATATATATATATATATATATATATATATATATATATATATATGCATATAAGTATATACATTTATATGTATATATGCATATAAGTATACACGCGCGCGCGCGTGTGTGTGTGTGTGTGTGAAGGGGGAAAAAAAAAATATATATATATATATATATGTGTATATGCATATGTATATGCATATGTATATGTATATATGTATGTGTATATATATATATATATACTTTATAAAAAGCTGATACAGATATTCTGCTTCAGGGCTGCTCATCTTTCTCTCTCACTGGAACAGATCCTCACCATATGATATATATATATATATACATATAGTTTTTTACAATTGAACCAAACTCCATAGATTAATCTGTCTTTTTCAAATGCTTTTTCATGCAATTTACGGTATATATTTTCTGACAATTGACAATCATTACTTTTTTCTTTTTTTCTTTTTTTTTTTACATATATCAACAATTTATAACATGTGTATTTCTCCTACACATATCCTGATATTTTTTCTTATAAAGTAAATATATAATTCCACACCATTTTTTTTTTTCTCTCTCATTATTTACAGAACACAAGGTCAATAAAACGCTCGTTTGAAAAAATACAATATTAGTATTAATGGTTACTATTTACAAGCTATACAAATTTACATTCACAGATATAAAATACCCACTGGTTATACATATCTTCAATAGTTTTGGTCGTACAAGAAAATGTAAATACATGACAGTTCGGCCCCTTCTTGCAAGAACATGTGTCATAAAGAAAACGAGGAGCAATGGCGATAGGTGTCAAGAGGAAGGGGAGAAGAGGGGGTGACGGTAATAAAAAGGGGAAAAATGGAGGAAGGGGGGGAAAATAAAATAAAAAATTAAAAATAAGAAAAGTAGTAATTGGGGGGGGGGGGGGGGGATTGATGAGTATGATCCCATGACGAAAAGGAAGAAAGAAAAAAAGTTTAATTAGTGAGATTTTTTTTTTCGGGGGGGGTGGGGGAGATGGGGGAAGGAAGGTATATGATAAAACAAAGGAAAGGAGGAAAGAAAGAACGAAAAAAAGAGAAACAGAACCTAACAAAATAAAGAAACATACAGGATCACAGAAACCACAAACATAAAAACAAACAAACAAAAAAACCTCCAAACAGGAAGAAAAGAAGGGAGAAGGAGAAAAAAAAATCAAAAGCAAGGGACAAATAACCTATGCACTTGAAGATACTATCACACTCCCGCACTTGTGGATCAGCCTACGCACGTCTATTGAAAAAGTTAGTATTGCAGTACAGATCTTCGAAATTAGGAACATAAAAAAGAGTCGAGTATTGTGTGTGTGAGATCTCCAGCGTCGGCTCTTGAAGCAAGCTGTCCGTGAGGGTCAAAATAAGACACTTAATATAAAGAGATGTAACCCTTATGGCGCGCGGAATTATGAGAGAATGTCTGGAATAAGGAGGTCGGTGAAATGAAAAGGAGGAGGGGGAGGAGGAGGAGGAGGAGGAGGAGGAGGAGGAGGAGGAGGAGGAGGAGGAGGAGGAGGAGGAGGAGGAGGAGGAGGAGGAGGAGGAGGAGGAGAAGGAGGAGGGGGGAGGAGGGGGGAGGAGGGGAGGGGGAGGGGAGGAGGAGGAGGAGGGGAAGGAGGTGGAGGAGGAGGAGGAGGAGGAGGAGGAGGAGGAGGAAGAGGTGGAGGAGGAGGAGGAGGAGAAGAAGAAGGAGTAAGAGGAGGAGGAAGAAGATGAGGAGGAGAAGAAAAAGAAGGGGGAGGAGGAGGAGATGGAAAAGGAAAGGACAAGAGCTATGAAGGAACAGCAGAAATGGAAGATGACCCTCGCAAACGACTTCTCCAAGAGCCAACGACTAACAGCATTCAGCACGAGTGCCATCCGAGTCAGTATCCCAAGAGCAGACGGGAGGACGAGGCAAGGAACGATACAGACCGTGTGCGCTACCGTATTTTTCCCATCTCTTTCATCAAATAATTACCGAAGACACGCGGTACTCAAACAAAAGAAACAAATACAAATAAATAAAATAAACGCACACACGGAATAAAAAAAAACAACAACAACAAAACAATAAGTAAGAACAACAATAACGATAAATAACGGCCACCCACTGCCCTGGGGATCACGGACTCGGCGCGCGGGTGGACTCTGGCGGCAACAACATTTACGAAACAAACTGGCAAGAGCGCGAAGTGTAGAGAAACGACCGGCCAGAAAGACACACTTGCTCGGCGAACTTTACCAGAACACTTACAGAGGTAAATGAACGAATGAACACCTAAGAACAGCGCACAATGTCGTAAGAAAATAAATCTACACTCATGAAGGCAGATGTCACGTTAGTTATTACACTGAATAATCATTATTATTATTATTATTATTATATTATTATTATTATCATCATCATTCATTTATTTTTTTATCCATTTTTTGCTTTGTTTACATTTGTTAGACCACCGTGCAGAAAAGTTGATTATAGGCGCCAGGAACACGTGGGCTGGCGCATTCACAATCGGTGTCACGCGACGAGGTGACAGAGGCAGCGAGACTCGTAGCGAAGAGAATCAAGCAAATTCCTGTGTACAAAATGAAAAACACAAATTCACACAGCTATCAACTCACCTGCAACCAGGTCAATAAATATAGGTCTCGACGTGTATCCTGGTATATATATATAAACTTCACATATGCCCGGTGTATATAAACTTCACAGATTTATATATATGGCTGCAAAAAGATCGGTACACACGTCGCACTATGTAGCCGTCCACATCTACATGGCGTCTTTCTACTGCTGAACATTTACACAGTCACATCGACCAGCCGAGTTCTCTGAAGCCGAGCTCTCTGATGCCGAGCTCTGAAGCTGCGCAGCAACAGACGCGGAGCCGAACACTTCCTCTTGCAACATCTCGTGCATTTTCCGAGACAAGAGTCGGCAACAGCGGATTCCAGATATAAATGTCAACTTCTTAAGTCGCGCCCCACAACCGCCCATCTTTTAGCAAGAGAGGAGGGGTGGGTGGGGGTTGGGGGGAGGGGGAAGGGGAGGGAGGGAGCTAGGAGGAGGAAAAGGAGGGGAAAAGTTGTTTAGGGGAAAGTTTTAAGACACTTTCTCGCTTCACGCAACTCGCTTCCTCCCGCCTCTGAAGGCTTCGACGCCGAGAGAAGCGAGGCAGAGAAAGGAGACCCACCCACCGGAGCGGCACGCCTGAGGAATCGGTTTGGTCTTGATGTCGTTTTTCTTTTCTTTTTTCCAATCCCCCCCTCCTTCACCCCCCCCCCTCTCTCTCTCTCTCTTCTTTCCACCCCTTTTCTGTGGTTTTATTCGCTACGAACGTAATTTGCTCACTAACACTTCCCCTACACACTGTGTTTTGGTCAAGTATCCTACAAAAAATCTTCTATCACAATAGCGCAGTTGAGGATGTGATTACGCAGGGGGGGAGGAAGGGACGGGGGGGAGGGGGGGAGGCTGTTGTCAAGCTACCAGGGTGGGGGGGGGGGTGCCTGGGTGGGGTGGGGGAGGTCAACGGGAGAGGAGGAAGAGGAGGGGGGGGGGAGGGGGGAGATTCTATGATTTTTTTTGAAGATGAAGAGGCATGTTAATGATTTTTTTTTTTTGTTTTATTTCCTCTAATTTCAATTTTTCAATATACAGTTTGCTTATTCTTGGAAGCTCAAATTTATGTTATTATTACAAGGGTTTCAGGCACATAGTCCCGCCGACAGGGAGAGTAAGGTTGTTCATAAACACTTAATTATGCTAGTCTAACACCCTTTCATACCTTTTTTTTTTTTTAATAAGGGTTTCAACTATAGTCATGCCACCATAGTTTGTCCTTTCACCTCTCTTGAGAATTATGTCCCAGTCTTTGCACGGTCTCGAGTGCATATTGCAGAGTTGCACCCTCTCTTTTGTAAAGAATCGGCATGCAACATCAGATTCATTGACAACTCAGGAAATGATCTATAGAGAGAAACCTCTTTCTTCTACACTTGACATTGCCAGGCCTATATATATATGTTTTTTTTCATCTTAATTTTTTTACTGCATGTCGTAAGTATCATACCCTGTTATATTATCATTTTTTTTTTACTTTACAATCTGCTTGAAAGAACTATATATGGTATTTACAATTAGTTGCAATACGAGCATAGATTTCCATTGAAGAAAAAAAAAAAGTTTCATTAGTAAATATATTATGCATTCGTGGAACATGGCAATGAAGGGTTAAGTGTCTATAGTATTCAAACCTCACACATTTCAAAAGCAACGTTCTTGATTAGTGTTTCAGAGAATGGTATGAAAAGTCTATGCAAACAAAGACAGCATCACGTTACAGATGCTACTATATATATATTTTTTTTAGCCTTTCATTATTTTTTCCTGGCATTGGTAATAAAAATATAATCAACAGAAATTTTAGTGACCATCATTTTCTGTAATACATCTGAAGGTCTATCGGTTCTCTCCAAAGAGCTTAAGAGATTTTGCCTCGCCTTGCATGCAATACATGCATCAAAAACGAAAAAGAAATACACTCAATGTTTTCCATTCCAGAGATGACAATAATATTATGCAATTCACAACAGATGATTTTTGCTAAATTATCTTTTTTTGTCCACAAATTCAAAGCGTTCACTAGAAACTGTCACCATGCAATATATATATAATGTGTTTGTGAAGGAACAACAATCAAAAGGTGAAATGCACATCACCGAGACATAAAAAATCGTCGAATCACTGTATCCAATCATATATTCAACTCATAAATATTTATTTTCACTAAAAACCACTTCTTAAAAATGATATATGTATATATATATTCATCTATTATTTTACACAAAAAAAATCGCATATAAACTCCACAACGATGATTCATATTTCTTTCATACAGAGTCCTCATCGGATAAAATGTCCCTCAAAACACACAAAAGCGAAATATACAAAATCAGGCACTGTAATATAGCAGACCAAGAGCTACTACTGAGGTTTAGTGGGGTTGCCCGAGGCGGCCGGCCCGCGCCCCGCCCGCGCCCCGCCCGCGCCGCCCGCCGCCAGGACGCGGGGGAAGCCGCGGCGACGGGAGGTCCTCGCGGGCCTCGCCTCCCGTCGAACTCTGTCTCCTGGCACGTCTCAGGAGTCCCTTGTCCCAGGAGGAAATATATATATGTTTGGAGGAATATATATATTTAAGATCCTAGCTTGAAGGAACCACACAACCTCTTCGCGAAGGAATCACAAGCACGAGGGAGTGTCCAGCGCGGAAGGGTCCTTCGCGCCCTGACAAGGCGGCAGGCCCTTCGCCGCGGCCGCACCACACAGAATACACAACACTAGCCAGGGGCCTTCATGCGCCCCTCGGTCGGGTCAGCTGTCTTTTCCACAGCAGAAAATAAATGCTATTCACTCCTCACTACGAGAGTGAAGGGGAGATGCTTAACCGAGTATGTATCCTATTCTCCTTCCTAAAACAACGGGTTTCACAGCGCGATTTATTCATTCTTAAATACGAATACTATGGGAACTTTTGCCTCGCCGACGTCCCTCTCCGCAGTTCCTCTCGCCGGCGCCTCAGCCGTGGCCGTCGTAGAGGCGGTGGAGGCGCAGCAGGCACAGCGCGGCCACAAGCGCCCACCACGACGCGCCGCGCCCCTGGCATCCGCTGGCCGGGCGCGCCGTCTGCTCCTGGAAGTGGTCCTGCGCCTTATTGGCCAGCTCCTTCCCGAGCTCCCTCTCCATGTCGAGCAGCTCCTCCGTGAGCTCTTGGTCCGCGGTGCCCGTGTCCTCGGCGCCGAAGCCCTCGAAGTGGTCGTTCTCAATGCGGTCCTCGATGTGCGGGATGTCGAAGTCCCTGTGGTTGTAGGGGTCGACGTCGATGCTCTCGATCGGCCGGGAGTTCCTCTGGTCGTCGAACATGACCTCCTCCTCCTCCAGCTCCTCTTCCGTCTCTCCCGTGGGCGTGGGGTGGTGGTTCCTCCTTCGCCCTCCCTTGTTCTTGCGGCGCCGCGAGATCCTTCTCAGCTGACGACACACGTTCTCGGGCGCCCACGGCTCCGTGATGTTCGGGTAGTCGTAGTCCATCTTCTCCAGCTCCTGCGACGGGGAAGAAGAAAGAGAGAAATAGTCAGACGAACAACAACCACCAAAGGCACGCCACGAAAAAAGGAAACTTGAACCAACACACCGTATTCAGAGTTCAACAAACGATGACAATAACAAACACACAAACAATGACAGCCAGCTAACAAACGAGCCAACAGGCGTCTCACTTACCGGAAGCAGCGACTCGCCTCGCCTCCAGCACATGGGGTTGATGGTGCCGGTGTGCGTGACGGCCTGGAAGTACTCGAACTGGTTCTTCCAGTCGTAGTTGAGGAGCCGCCACTCCAGCTTCTTCCCCGCCAGCTCGATCGGCCGCCGGATCCTGATCGGGTCGGAGTCGCTGTCGGGGGAGGAAGGGCGGTTAGGAGAGCGAGGAAATGAATGGGTTCCGATCCTGTGCGTGGAAATACTGATGCTTAAGCAAGAGATAGATTGAGTTTCGCTCTTCGAATACCTATACTTATGAGAGAGAAACAATGAGTCTGAATCTTCTTCATGGAAATACTTATACTTAAGTCTATGCATTAGGATAAAAACATGGCAAACTGTGGTTTCTTAGAAGAACAAA